GCCAGGCAGTGACTCACCTGGGGCGCCCCTGGCCACCAGGCCCTGGGAGCCGTCCCCGGGGGTGGGGGAGGTCCTGCCATCCCACTTGACCATGTCCAGGCCGTTGCAGTACTCCCAGCGCTTCTGCTGCAGCTCCTGCAGCCAGTAGGTCATGAGCTGGCGGTTGGGGGCCTGGGGAGAGAGGGGACAGGGTTACGGCCGCCCGGGGTGAAGGCTCAGAGCCACGTGTTTCGTGGGGACAGACGCACATCTGGCTCTTTAAGGGCTGAGAACAGCTCAAAGACGTGTCCATTTCGAGACCTACACCGGGGAATACTCTTTAGCAATTAAAACACCAGCCCGGCCGGCGTGGCTCAGTGGCTGAGCGTCGACCTATGAACCAGGAGGTCACGGTTCGATTCCCGGTCAGGGCACAGGCCCGGGTTGTGGGCTCCATCCCCAGTGGGGGGCGTGCAGGAGGCGGCCGATCCACGATTCTCTCTCATCATGGATGCTTCTCTACCTCTCCCTCTCCCTTCCTCTCTAACATCAATAAAAATATATTAAAACAACAACAAAACCCACTACCCGCCCAGCACAGATGAATATTAAGTGCATGTGTGAGATAAGCCGGATCCCACACGCTACATATTGTAAGATTCCATGGATGTGACATTTACAAAATTATTTTACCATATTTTTATTGATTTCAGAGGGGAAGGGATGTGTGCATGTGGGTGCATGTGTGTACATGCATGGACGTGTGTGCATACAGCGCATGTCTGTGCGCATGCGTGAGGCCACACACATGCACGTGTGTGCGTATAGCTGTGCGTGCACATGCATGTGCGTCTGGTCCTCCACCAGCTCCCTTGCCCGCTCCCACCCCCGCCCGCACGGGCTCCCCGTGTCTGTGCTCGGAAAAGCGGGCGCCCCCCTCGTGGGGTCCCATCCCTCACCGGCCTCGCCCGCTGTCTCCTGGGACGCAGGCCCCATGAAAAAATCTGCTTTTTACAAGAAAACCGCCTCCCTCCTCCTCTCCACGCAGCCCTCTCAGCAGGGAACGCCCAGGCCCCCGTTCGTCAGCTCCCGCTCCCTGCCTGGGGCAAAGACCCCCTTTCGGACCACAGGCCTCCCAGGTCCGACCCATTGTTCCCGAGACAGAAACCGGGCCCACAGGCGCCAGCCCCTCGGGTTCCTTTCCTATAAAACAATCTAGAAACCACCGCAAGCATCTGACTCCCACCCCAGCCGCTGGGGGCAGCCGGTTGGCGTGCATATGGCCGGGGTGTGTGCTGGCCACGGGGGAGGGGGGAAGCCCTGTTATCAGGAACCTGAACCCCAAACACAGGCCGG